TGCAATAAGTTTAGTATCGTGTACCAGAAATGTATCATGGAAAATTATTATCTTAATCAGTAAAGGTTGAAGTTGAGCGCCCTTGCTTAAGAATGTAGGTAATGAGTGAAAAAAAATGAGTTAAATGTAAAAAAGGAGAGAATTACAAGCAAAGTTGTAAGAATTTTGGTGCAGTTAAAGTGAATATCAAAAGATCAAAATTCCAAAAGTTCAAAGATACCCCAAAATCAAAGAAAATCAAAAAGGTGGCAAATATGAAGAATTCAAAGAAATCAAGGTTCAAATTATGAAGAAAATGAAGAATTCTAAAAAGCTCCATAGTGGTATCAAAGAATTGTAATTTTTAGAATATGTATGCTTGGGTTACTCAACCAAAAACACCTTGAGACTAGGAGGTTTTCTGGAGATGGATTCGGAGGGATGCATAAAATGAGCATTGTTAGGAAAAGGTGGGCGAGTGTTTATGAGGATTGTGAGTATTTAAAATCAAGGGGGGGGGGGGGTCCTTAGGAAAATTATTAGACACAAATGCATGCGTTGCGGTCTTGACGTAATCGCTGGGTTGGATTGGGATTGTCTTCGTAATATTAGTGTGCTTAATTTCAGTTTTGCTTGGGGGCAAGCAAAAGTCAAGTGTGGGGTATTTTGATATTTTCATATTTAGCTATATTTTTATATTGGATTTTTATCACTTATTGGCTAATTAATTGCATATTATGGACAAAAGATACTTAATATTGTTCAAATTATATTTTCAGTTCAGAAAAGAAGCTCGAAAGCAAAAGGAAGCACAAGATATGAACGAAAGATAGAAGAAAAAAGGCTTAATTCCGAAGTTACTCAGCGAGTAGGGTCGTTTACTCGACAAGTAGATGTGAAGGTTCGCGAAGCAATATGCGGAATCCTTGTTGTACACTGGTTTTAAGTGACGAATTCGCCGAGTAGGTCACTAGAGTCGACGAATAGCCCCTGTTGTGAGAAAACTATAAATAGACTTCGCAAACTCGAAGTGAGGACTTCTTTGGAATTTTTTGTGGAACACTTGGCGATCCAGGAAAGCCTTGGAGCTCTGGAAAACGTTGAAGAACCCTAATCCTTCATTCTTAAGAGATGAAGGCACTTTAGGTTTAATTTTCCACTTAACCTTTGAATAGAATTATGTTAGGTTTATTTGAATTCGTTTTTAAGCTTTCATACACTTAAATCATGAACTAATTTCGTTAGTTTCTGTTAGGGAAGACAATTTTGCTCCTATGGTTTAATTTACTCTTTTTGATTAATTGTTAGTTGGTGATATTGTTAATTTAAGCTTGTTAAAGACCCTTATGCATTAACCATAACTATTTTCTGTTAATTGCTATGTGATTAAACTACATGAACATCTCTTAATTGCTTATCTCATATAATTTATGTGAACACAATACTATATACCTATGAATAATGAACATGAAACTTGGATTAATTAGAGAATGGGTAAATTAGTGTGTGAGCTTGTGTGATACACCATCAACAAGAGGTTAATTGAATCACCAAATTTAATTAGCTAACTACAAGTCTTATTTAACCCGAATAATTAACCTAGGAAATCTATTAGTTTACTCTACTGTCCATTGATTGAATTGGTATGTTTTCTAAGGATTAGTAATAGTGAATGCAAATCTAATCACCAGAGTCGATAACGAATAATAATTAATCTATTATATTACCATAAAAATTAACCATAGGAGTAAATGAGTTAAACCTAAACATAAACCCTTTTGATCATTGAATTTAGTTTGTTTTTACATGTTTTCAGCTTTTAGCCGAGTAGTTAAGTTTTAGTTAAGATTCTAGTCTTGCAAAACTAGAGAAACCCTATTTTCTATTACTTGTTTTTAGGTAATTCTTGTTTTTAGTTTTAATTTTTCGTTCCCTGAGTTCGATACCCTACGTATTTAGCTACACCACAATTGATAGGTCCACTGCCTTTGTGTGTAAATTTTATAATTCAAAGTAGGATTAAAAGTAGTTGAGTTTACACACATCATTCATGTTGTCAAGAACATTCATAAAAAAAGATTAAGCTCCATCCACATATGATTGTTCGGTTCTATTTAAAGACATTCAGTACTTATCTATGTTCATGAAATTAGCCCAAATCAATTTGAAAAAATGGACAATAAAATAATATGGTGAATAACGAATGAGGTGTATTAATATAACATGTAGTATTTAAGTGCACGAACTAATTTGTATGCGTAATTGAGATGAGCTGGAGTTTATAGGTTACTCTGATGAATTAATTAAAAGCCTAAATCAATATTTTGGTACATTTATCATGGTTAGAAGGAGATTAGCAAATGACAAACCTGATTCGAATTCAACGTCGAGACCTTGTTTAGTAGATCTTAGATGATAATTTAGAACTTTTGTTGGAAAACCTCTGATGATAATTGTGTTTGGGGGTGGTTTTGAAACTCCTTATGAGAAAATCCAAGTAAAAAGTCAATAAGTTGGAGGGGTATAAAGGTAATTTTGATGTATATATGTGGAGGGAATTGAAATCTTTGGAAATTTTGAATCCCTTTTATTTTGGTATTTGGAAGGAAATAAAAAATATTATTAATTATAATTAATATTTTGTCAAGAAATCTAAGACTTTTTGAACCTCACTTTTTCCCCTTGCCAAAAAGTCATTTGAAAAGGACTTCTAAAGTACCTAAACACCTTTCTAACTTATTGGATTTAAGAAGCACTCCCAAATTCTAGTTTTAATATTTAAGACCCAAAAATTTAATATATTTCCAATATACATAAAAACAACTAATTGACAAAATATATTTCAAAATATGGTCTTGATATTCATTAAGAAAATGAAATCCTGATAAATAAACTTACATTTGATACAAAAAAATGTACACAAAATACATCTTCATTACATCAACAAACAAAAAAATCGACATGATATATCTAGCTGCATACACAAAATTTGAAACCACCAGTTTGACTAGCCACATCCATGTGCACAATAACATAATTTTTTGGGATTGGGTTAGTAAATCAAAGTTTAACCAAACTAAAATATATTCTTATATGATGGGTTTTACATGTAATAACACGGATAAATCCTTATACTCTTAAGGGTACATGCAACCTATTAAATATAATCATAAGTCTATTGAAGTAACATTCTATTGAACAACAAGAACCCTATAACCCTAGGTAATTTCGAAAACCATAGAAGAAAAACATACCTTTTGATTGTTGTAGTAAACAATCAAACAATCCTTCTTGTAGTTTCTTGGAAACTAGCACTAGAAATCTCATGCCTCTAATGGTCCACACCCAACCCTAGCAACTAGGAAACTTGAAGAGAGGAGAGGAAAAAATCAAATTTCGGCTAGCTTCTTAGCTTAAGGGTTTACCGAAATTCAGAGGGTGGAACACCCTACATATAGTTGACCAAGAAACCTTAGATAACCCTTACTTGATTAAAATAATAATATCTTAAATCAAGTAATTATTTGGTTTTCTAATTATCTCTAAGGGAGATTCTAGAACCCTAGAAACACTCTAAAACGGTCCACCCTCGTTTGGAAGGTTCTGGAACCCCTTTTATTCAACTATTGAACAATTACAGAAGGTTCTGGAACCCCTTTTGTTCAACTATTGAACAATTACAGCTTAGGTCATTGCACTATTAATTAATCTAATTAATCCAAAAACTAATTCTAATTAATTTATGATTAATTATTCATTAAATAATATAATTTCTAATTAATATATTATTTTCATAACGTATTAATAAATTCTTTTATTGTCATTTATTAATCGTATAATAAATCAATAAATTATTCTCTCTCTCTCTCTCTCTCTCTCTCTCTCTCTAAAAGTCATCCTATTCAATTATTATGTTTGAGGGTAACCAAAAGGACTTTACTAATAATTCAAGTATATATATATATATATATATATATATATATATATATATATATATATATATATATATATATAATAATCCAGTTATTGGCATAGACACCTAGTCCATAAGTCTCCCACTTGGATAAATCTATAAGTGTAATTACCAGTATTACTTCTAAATTAAACAACAAAGAGTGTCTCAATAGTAACTTTTGAACTCTGATCTAAACAGATATTGGTCCTAAGATAAGTGATGAAATATTCCTCCATTCTACTAGATATCATATATTCTTGAGACATGCATTAAAATCAATCCGAGTGTCCAAATTTTGTTTCCCGGTATCTTATTTTGTGATGACAACACAAGACTTCAAATTGAACACATCATTCGAGTCAAGGTTGGGCCGAACACTCTAAGTCAACACCGAATTACGAAGGGTACCAACGATATCACTTTTCCCGTTATGGAAAAGGAACAAATAAAATTTGACTCATATGCTTGTATCTTTTTCTTATCAAATCTTACATGATATTGCATTTTATAACATCATGTTACTGATGCGCTTCCGCAATACCAGTGCACAACCGACTTGTCAATTACTTGCAATCAAATTTGATATTACAGAAGATTCTGAAGGTGTTTTAAATTTTGGAATGATTCTCTTCCATTTTGCCCATGGCGAGGAGTCATATGTGGTAGTCGTCACCAAAGAGTCACAGGTTTGGATCTAGCAAACAGAGGCTTAGTAGGTACTTTATCTCCTTCTATTGGCAACCTCTACTTCCTCAGGTAAATATATCTTGATAACAACCATATTTATGGAAGTATCCCTTCTAAAATTTGCAGCTTAGTTCAATTAGAATCACTATCTATTCCTAATAATTCATTCGCTAAAGAAATTCTCAACCACATATCAGATTGTACAAAACTACTACACATTGATTTATTTGGGAATATTCCAAACATTTTTAGTTATTTGAGAATAATACAAGTGATAATTTTTTGGAAAAATAAGTTAACCAGTGGGATTCCAACATCCATTGGCAATCTCACATATCTTGAGTACATATATCTTTCTGGTTGTCGGTTAGAAGGGAGTATGCTAGATTCCTTCCATCAATTGGAAAACATGAGACGTTTAAGTCTTAGAGAAAATCGCCTCGTTGGAAACTTTCCCATGTTCATATTTAAGGTTTCCAATATAGAAGTACTAAATTTTCCAGACAATCAACTCGCTGGAAGTCTACCCTCAAACTTATGATTGAATCAACCTCATCTCAAGAGACTAGAATTTTCTAAAACTCTATTCAATGGAGTCTTGCCAACTTCACTATTAAATTGTTCTCAGTTGGGTCGCTTTGATTCTACTTATAACAATTTTAAGGGAGAAATAAATGTTGATTTTGGAAAACTCCGTCCTCGTTGGTGGTTAACTCTTGGTCCGAACGAGGGTCTTGGTGGCATGAAATATTTCGATTCGTTGTTGAATCGCAACAATTTGGAACTATTGGAACTTGCGGGACTCCATCTAAGGAGAGGGATACTTGATTGGGTTGGGAACTTGACCAAATTGAGAGCTCTAAAATTTCAATATACCTCTATTTCAGGCAGCCTTCCTTCATCTATAGGAAACTTGCATAGACTAACTATATTTTCTTTAGTCGGAAATAACCTCATGGGAATGATTCCTGAAAGCATCGTCAAGCTTAGTAACTTAGTGTACCTCAATCTTGGTTTCAACAGTTTTTCTGGGATCATTCCTAGATCTATAGGAAAACTTTTCTACTCTAATCCAAGTGTCATTTAGAGAAAACAAATTGGAGGGTACTATACCCTCGAGTATTGGATCATGCAAACAGTTGATACTTCTATCATTTGCTTTAAACAACTTCATAGGAACTATACCAAAAGAAGTATTCAAATTATCTTCACTTTCAATCGCACTAGATCTAAGTCTAAACAATTTTTCTATGAATCATTTATCTGGTGAAATTCCAAGTAGTTTGAGCTATTGCTTCAAACTTCGAGTCCTAGACTTTTCAAGCATTTCCTTTCATGGATCGATACGGGAATAATGGAGTTATTTGAAAAACCTCTTATATTTTAACCTATCAACCAATAACTTTTCTTGACATATTACAAGATATTTGGTGCAAATTCCTTTTAGTTATCTTGATCTTTCTTATAATGATTTTGAGGGAGAGGTATATGTTAAGGGTGTCTTCACCAACTCTTCTGCAATATCAGTCCTAGGAAACCATAGACTTTGCGGGGGGACAATTGAGCTTTATCTACCCAAATGCACTAGTATCGAGTCCAAGAAAAGAAAAAAGCTTTCTTTTGGTGGTATTCTTAGGATTTCACTATCTTATGTTGGTGCATGTCTAGCTCTAGTGTTATTCGTGTTGGTATGCTTTTTTGAAAGAGGAAGAAAGACACACCATCAGAATCAATAGGACAGAGTGAATCTTTTGAAAAGGTTTCATATGAAAGGCTTTTCAAAGCGACTGATGGGTTTTCTTCACAAAAAATTATTGGTGCAGGTAGCTTTGCTTTGTTTTTCAAAGGAGTTCTGGATGAAGAGGGTACAAATGTGGCAATCAAAGTACTAAATCTCCAACAAAGAGGAGGTTCCAAGAGTTTTATAGCCGAGTGTGAAGCCTTGAGAAATATTCATCATCGAAACCTGGTTAAGATCATAAGTTCTTGCTCAAGCGTCAATTTCCAAGGTAATAATTTCAAAGCTTTAGTGTATGATTTCATGCCAAATGGAAGTCTTGAGACTTTGTTGCATTCATGCAAGAAACTAGACCATATGCCTCCTCATAATTTGTGTCAACTAGATCTCATTCAAAGAATAAGCATTGCTAAAGATGAGGCTTGTGCTCTTGATTATCTACACAACCATTGTGGAAATGTAGTTGTTCACTATGATTTGAAGCCAAGCAACATTTTATTATATGTTTATATGGTTGCTCACATTGGAGACTTTGGGCTGGCAAAAATTCTTACACTTGAACAACTTCCTAATGCAAACAGGAGTAGTTGAAGTCTTATGAGAAGAACCATTATGTATACAGCACTGGTTAAATTTATGATCCCTAGTCCACTTGTTTTTTTATATTAATTAATCTTTGTTTTACTATATATATGTACAAACATAATTCTACATAACATGCAGAAAATAGACTTGGAAATGAAGTATCGACCGAGGGGGACATCTATAGCTAGGGGATCCTGTTGTTAGAGATGTTGACTTGAAAAATGCCTGTTGATCTAACATTTGAAGAAGGACTGAGCCTGCATTTTTATGCAAGGAAATCCTTGGCAGATGGTCTTGTGCTTCAGGTTCTAGATCACATGCTTATAAATGATGATGTCGACCAAATGTTTTTAATTTCATTAGCAAAAATTGGAGTGCAATGTTCTTCTAAGTCTCGACATGATCGAACGAAAATTGGGATTATTATTCAAGAGTTGCTTTCTGTGATGGGTACAACTACTTCAAAGTCCACACATAAATTTGGTGCGAGTGCTACCCAAGAAATTAGTGTGTGATTGTGTTATGGGATTTGTTTTATTGTGTATCAAAGTTTTGGTATCTCTATTGTTGATGTTGGCATGACTATTAATAACGTGTGTGTAGATAGGCAATTTTTCTATTGAATATTCGTAGTAATATAGTTAATATGAGGATAACAACTCTTAGTATCATTAAAAGTACAAGACACGAATTCTTCTTTTGATATTGTGAGAAAACAGGCGGGAATCGTGTTGAGTTTTAGTTCAAAACTAGTTTCAAAAAACTCATATCATGGCAAACGGAAGACTTTAAATTTTGAAACTAACATAAAACATTTTATACCCACCAAGGATCATCTTCCAAGTTATGGAAAGATTTAAACAACAACCAAAGAAATGGTGAAGAAATAATAATCGTTGTTGTTCTTTGGGTCCTCTTGGAAGGCTTGAAAGTTAATGAATAATGTGGAACCTTTGAGGCACCAACAATGACTCAACTTGATATAGATGCTAGTCCATAAACTCTTTACTCTTAAGCTTGAAGTTCATAACCAAAGTATGAACTTCAAGAGAGTATAAATGCAAGTAATCTTCAAGTGTTCTTAACAAAAAAAAAAGATAGAGAATGAGGGAGAGCTTAGGAATTTCAAAATTTGCATGTAAAAAAGGACACATAACACGAAAGCCACTAAGCAAGTTAAAGTGAAGAGTTAATCTAAAGGTCCTTAAGCATTAATCCCTTTAGACAAGCTTGTGACCAATGCTTTCTCCCATACCTATTACTTTTTAATAAATTAACATGAAAGTCGTACTCTTTTCTTTTGACTCTTATTTTATAAAAATAATAAAAGGAAGAAGACAAAAGATTTATATTTTATAAACCAAGTTTACAAAATATAAACTTTAACTTTTTTGTAAAAGACAAAAGAATTTATCGAGTCCAAAATATTGTACATGACTTATTAATTCATACCATATGAAATAATATGTTACTTTCTAATAAAAATTATTACTTCCTTGAAATAAATAACTTTTAATTTAATTATAAGAGTTTTATTGAATATTTATTATATTAATTTCCAATAAATAATGAGTTATATCAAGTTGTTGTTAGTGTGACCCTTAGGATCGTATGTTGAATAGCAATATCACTTTCATATGATTCTTTATCATACTAGATCTTTTAATCTCCCACTTGTGCAAGACTCATATTAGACTGATATAGACAGTGGTAAACATCTATCAATATTTCACTTCCCCCATTAACATGCGACTTTGTGCCATTCTATCAATACCCAATTCTTAAAAAGCTCAAAGTTGCTATTGGTGTATAAGGTAAGTTTATCAGTTATCCCTTTGCTACAGACATCATGTTGAACATGAGATACGGATCGCGATCAATCGCATTAGTTGTTCAAGTTTTGATAAGGCAACTTAGATGTCTAACTCTCAACACATAAGAGGAACAAATCCCCTCTTAACTACATAAGCCTCTTGCATAGTGCACACCGTACTTGAAAATGGCTTTTATAACTGCCCAGTTAAGGAACAACATTGACCATATAAAAGCATAGTACTCCACACACTTAAGTCCCACTATGTATCTTAGTTATTAAGGATACAAAGATAGTACCTTTTAATCAAGTATCATTCATGATAACAATCCATGAGATAATCTTCATGCAGGTCAGTTCAATACTAGTCCACTCACAAGTACTTATGAAGCTTGGTTACAACCACTTGCCTACTTTCATCTAGTGAGAGTCAACCAATCCAATTCATATTAGTCTTACATTACAATTGCCCACACAATTATAACCGGCTATGAACTTTTAGAATAATAACATTATTCATGGATTAAACATGTTAATATAGAACACAACAAGTATTAATGTGATGACTATATCCCAATATATCATAAAATTATCTAATAGTTGTTGTTATAATGTTCCGATATCCAAATACCAAATCCAAATAAAAAATCTCATTTCTAGAATAATAAAGTCTTAATGTTGAAGTGTGACCATTCTTACTTAGTTCAAAAGAATGACTTTATCAATGGGTTTGAAAAAATTTAATTTGTGTGAATTCTATGAATACTATTATCTCCATACTTAATTTTACTCTAAGTATACTTAAATATCTTTGAGAATTTGATTGGTGATCTTTCGTGACATAGAGTCTCATAGCTTGATTAAGTATACTCTGGAAGTCACAAAGATTTCTATGTGATCCTTGAATGGCAGAGATCAACATAGTTTTTCAATAATCTCATTCACCCAATCATATTTGAATTCAACTTCTAAAGTATTTTACTTCTATTTTGTAGTAGATTGTGTCTTTATGTTTTGCTTAAACTTCATTCTAACAAAATGTATTCTTCATTTCATAATGAAGTCAAAATCCAATTATAATTCATAATTGTTTATATATGTTTATAAATTATCATCTTTTTTAGCTTTTTCCATAAAGATCATTTCTAAACTAATTGTCTCATATACATTCTCTTAGTTCATCTAAAGTACTCTTAGAATGCTCCCTTAGTCATCCAGTGACTTAACCATGTATTCAATTAGTATCCTATGACATGCTTACATCATGATCAAATACCATGTCCTACGCATAATATGTCATAAATGATGAATTCATTTGCCAAAAAAAATGGAATATAAATCATTTCATCTAGCTCAAACCTATGAGCTCCGTACTTTTGAGGCTAGCTCAAAATGATACCATATGACAATGCCAAGAATAATCCAAGAAAATCTTGTGTCATGATCCCTTTCAAGATATTACCAATATATGTATAATGACGTGAAACTTTTAACGTTCATTTTATCTATCCCTTATAGAATTCACATTCCAAGAATGTATCTTCTCTTTCTTAAGTCTTTTATTTTAGAAACACTTTCAGAGTCAAGGTCGAAACAACATTGCTTAGTCATAATGTGATTTCAAATGACTAAGTATGTCTCATTCGTACATGATTAGGAATTTCACTATGCTCCCACTAGTTCTTAGTAAACACACATATTCTATTCATTTTGATATAAAAAAATACCTTGAGGTTTTACAAAAAATGATGACTGTAACATTGAAATGTTTGCTATATATCCACAAATGGATCTCAAGCTCTACACATTTTGTTAGGATAACATGGATTAAGTAAACCTCCAGGCTAATCTATGTAGATACCTTCAAGTAGAAGTCTATTAGAAAAATCGATCTTTCTTTAAATATATTTACTATATCTCATATTAAGAATATGAACTTATGGAAAATAATATCCTTGTTGATCTGATCATAACAACTTGTGAAAAAAGGTTTTATCACAGTCAATGTCATGAGTATGATGAGGACCATAGTCAATGACATGAGTATGAGAAAATCCTTATACTAAAAGTCTTTCCTTATATTTTATGCTTAACCATGTAATTTGTTCTTTCTAGAAGAATCATTTACTCCTTCTAGCCTTGCTATAGGGAGAAATTTTAATCAAGCCCATAGATGATTCTCATACATGGATTAAATCTCATTGTAACACCTGATACCTAGTATGCCTATTATTCAAGCATTTCTTGTGTTTTTCTCTGGGACTCGACAAGTTAGAGGCCCAACTCGTCGAGTAGTGTGAAGATCTGCGGACAATTTAAGTGACCTACTCGACGAGTCGAAAGACAGACTCGACAAGTAGGTGTTGTTTGGGTAAAATCCTAAATTGAGGGTTTGCACCCTATTTATACGCATTATCTCAGCCTCTAACGTCCCACACACTCCCATAAGACATCTTATCGAAACCCTAGCTGTTTTTGTGTGTTCTAAGGCTATTTTGGTGCTTTTTGGTGGATTGTGAAGCTTGAGAAGAGGAAAGGAGCTTGTGAGGCCAAGGGGAAACAAGAAGATCCAGAGTTTGGAGCTCATTTTCAGCTTATTGGAGGTATAAAGCAGAACCTTTATCTATATATCTTAATTTTGGGCCTTTTCCTTCATCTTTCTAAGCCCTAGAGAGGTTGTATTCGGGATTTAGTGTTGGAAGCCATTGTATGCTTTAGATCCAGGTCTATTGGGGGGTTTTATGGCACAAAGGTGCCCATTTTGTTGCTATGAACACCCCATGCACCTTGGAGGCCATCTTTTATGGCTTTTTGGGCCAAAGACCCCTTGCATGCGTACCAAGTTTGGAACTTTACGTGTAAAATGGACATTAGGAGGCCAGATTTATGGTTTTGGTGTGTTAAGTCCCACTGAAATCGACTTTATACTATGGGACAAGGAGGGACTTGGCGATTCGAGATGCTTTTTCCCCAAAAAAATGTCTTCTGGAATGGTTTTGGATGAGTGAAAGGAACGCTCAGCCTACTAGGGGGTTTGCCTTGGACCTGGAAGTCATGGGACTCGACGAGTGCTAGAACAGACTCGGCGAGTCCAAGGAAATCTCCCAATCTTTGAAGATGGGCTCAACGAGTTGTTCATATAACTTGACGAGTCGGATGAAGATGGTCCCGATGGTTTGAATGAAGGAGAACC